CACGCTCACTGTATTTGTTACATTTTTCTTTACCTTTTTCCTATCGCTTTATTTTTTCTTTCATTCAACAAATATTTCTGAACATTTCCTGTGTGCCAGGACTCTGCTGGCGCCAGTGTTACAGAAGTGAACGTGATAAGCATGGCTGTCACAGCGCCTACAATCCAACATGGTGCCATGGGTCCAATGCTGCCATAAAGCAGGGACAGTGTCCTAAACCACGGGCAAAGCTTCGTCCTCCTAGAGGAAGGGATATTCAGGCTGAGGCCTGCAGGTGAACAGGAGTAAGCCAGGTACAGGTGAGACTGTGGGGCTGTGTAAGGAACGTCCAGTGAGAAGGGACAGCATATGCAAGGATTCGAGGGCTTGGGTGGAGGAAAAGCAATGATGTAATAAAGGCAAGCTGCGGACAACCAGCTCGAATAATTTTGACTTTTTCATGGGAGCCAGTGAAAGGTTCTAGGCAGGAGAGTGAGGTGTCAGAAACATCACCCGAGCTGCCGTTTGGGAGCTGGAGGAAAGAGGAATGGTGGAATAAGATATAAGGAGAGGGAAAAGGCTGGTGGGAAAGATGATGGATTGGGATTGTTTTTCTTTTTTCCAACTGGTCTTTTCACCTTCACTCTCTTCTCCTTCCATGGGCAACCAGTCTTCTTGCATGCTGCTACCAGAGTAACTTTCTGGAACACACTTCTGATCTCAACTCAGAGTTTAATGGCATGTCTGCTCTTGGAACAAAATCTGAATTCCTCACCCTGTTATTCACAGTTTACAGTGAACTGGCCGCGTCTCTGCTTTGAAGCTTGATATTCTACACTCCCCTGGATGTCTTCCCACTGTGTCTGTCTGTATACTCTACACTCTGAAGCATCCCCACAACCATGGCTCTGTCTCAGGCCCCCGTCCTCTTTCCTCTTTGCTTCCATACTTAAACACGCTCCTCCTTCATGCGCTCTCAGATGTCCAGCCTCCCGGGATAGCTTTGCTTGTTTCCACTGAGAGAAATTTCCCTTTTCTCTGAATCCTCAATATGATGCAGTCCATGGTATTATGGTGTTTATCATCTCCCCACGTGGTGGAACTATTTGGAGAGGCAAGCCAGTGCAGCTCTTAGGAGCATGAACTCTGGAACCAAACCACCCGGATTCAGATCCTGGCTCTGACACTTCCTAGCTGTGTGGCCCTGAGCATATCACTTAAATTCTCTGTGCCTCATTTCTCTTCTATAAAATAAAAGTCCCTACTCCATAAGGTATTGTGAGGATTAAATGTGCAGATAATGCAAAAATGTATAATTTAGTATCTAGCAATAATGCTGGATAAATATGTGGTAAGATCATGCCAGTATTTTTATCATTTACATGTAACATCCACTCTTCTAAATGATAACTTGAGGACCTAATCTGCATCGGATTTACTTTTATGGCTTCTAAATCCCTTACTGCCTCACGCAGAGTAAATAACTAGTGAACGTGTAAGTTAGAGAGGGAAAAGGCTGGTGGGAAAGATGATGGATTGGGATTGTTTTTCTTTTTTCCAACTGGTCTTTTCACCTTCACTCTCTTCTCCTTCCATGGGCAACCAGTCTTCTTGCATGCTGCTACCAGAGTAACTTCACTACCAGAGTAGCTGCTACCAGTGAACCCTAATGGGACTTTTCAAATAGTTTATTTTGAAGAGAATATTGTATTTATTAAATTAACTAAAACAGATCATTGAGCAAATATTTTACATATAAATGTAAAGCACACAGGATTTTACATTTGATGCAGGGAGAGACCCCTACAGATAACTATAATATAAGGTAGAAAAAATATACAATAAAAGTGATTATAGGAATTCAAAAGGAGTGGCTAGAAGCATTAGTAAAGAATTCATTGAATTCATGAGATGCAATTATACTGCATTGCAGGGGTAACTTTTAGAATAAAGCACTCATAAATCAACTCTCATAATAATATTAGCCAATACTTACTGAATACTCACCGTAGCAGACACTATGTGTATCGCACTGAAACTTCAAAACAGTCCCATCTGCAAGTATTATTGCTGTGTTCATTTTACAAATGGGAAGACTGAGGCATAGCAAAGCAGTGTCTGTCAAAGTCATACAACTAATAAAGAATAGAGCCAGGACTGGACCCAGGGAGACTGGATGCAGAGCCTGTATTCTCCACCACCACACGGCAAAATTGAGAGCTCTGCTTCACTATTTGCTGAACTGTTTCTAATATGTTTTATTAAGTTCACTGGAATTTCATTTTCTATTACTTTTTAAACTTATATCTCAGTTATTCTTTCATTTATTTCTGACCGACTCAATCTTTCACTTACAGTAACAAGTCATCAGATTCTTTATCTGTGAAATAAAATTTTGAACCTGTATCAATAGTTCCCAAACAGTTCAAGAGCAATTCTTTCGTTCAAAATAAAACAATCATGCAGACATCTATAGTATAGTTGTTCACTTTTGCTTATTCATTCTCTTAGTTGTTGCTTGTTGTGAAATAGAAAAGTTTGCAATAAGTCTCAGGCTTTTGCAGCCCCCAGGAATCCACTGTGCTGGGATAATCTCTAAAGCCATTTCTAGTGGAAATATTTGAGATTTTATATATTCTAGACTTTAGGTTCCTATCTCTCTAGTTTCTAATCTATCATTTCTCTCTGCCATGAGAAGGAGCACTTATGCTTCCCTAATCCCTTAATCTTATATCAAGTTTTCTCTTTTTCTTCCCCATAAGTTTTCCCTTCTTCCTTGAGCTCCAATTCCTTAGTAAACAGTACAGCTTACTTTGCAGAACTCATAATTACCACTGGGCCCTTGTGCATAGGAACTATGTCTAAAACATATGAACTAAAACTTAGAATACAAAGTTACAGAATTTTAACTTGTTTTGTGAAAATAGAAAATAAAAGAAAGGTTTTATATCAAGTTTTGGATGCAGTTTCCTGGCAGATTAAATTCTGAAATCAAATCTTTATCTCTGTCTTCAGCATAGACTTAGTGAATTAGAAAATTAAGGACAAGTACTATATACACACAAAGGAACATTCTCTCCTGTCCACATCTATTTTTTACCTTCTTCTCATTTCTTGACACTTTTGTCCAGTCTTTTCCCTAGTCCTTGAGAATTTAATCATAATGGTCTTGTCAATGCTTAATTTAATACTTTGATATAGTAGAAATATTAGAGAGATGCCAGCATAGAGTTATAGGTAATGTCATGCTTGGTACTGCTGGAGAGTGGGGCTCCATTTGTCCGATATCAGCAAGAAAACGTCAGCGGGCTTCCCTGGTGGCGCAGTGGTTGAGAGTCCGCCTGCCGATGCAGGGGACGCGGGTTCGTGCCCCGGTCCGGGAAGATCCCACATGCCGCGGAGCAACTAGGCCCGTGAGCCATGGCCGCTGAGCCTGCGGGTCTGGAGCCTGTGCTCCGCAACGGGAGAGGCCAC